GGTCACAGGACATCCTATCCCTATATTAAACCTCATTAGCACTTCCATTTCTAACTTCAAAAAAAATGATTTAGTAACTGGTTCACACTTTGAGCAGGTTTGGATACATTCCATATTATAATTATATCCAGTGTTTTTTTCTGGGGGGGGGGGGGAGTGAGGGAACTCACCAGGAAGTTTGTTTGTTTATTGTGGGCCCAGTCGCAGTGCCACCCCCCACCGCTGCCCCAAGCAGTGGCTAAAAGTAAGTTGTGATTAATAAACACAAGCGGGCAATGATCTGGATTAGAAATGCCCACAACTTTATTAATTACAGATATAGGTGGATTTTTGGCTCAGGCATTGGGTGTATATCCGCCCCCACCCAGCCTAACATTTTTTTTTTATTTAATTTAAAAAAGGTACGGGAACTCAGTTACCACAAGTTCCTGCTCAAACTGCCCCCCCCATTTTATCATATACCACACTTTTGTAACTGTAATATAATTCCTACAAACTGAATATAAGGATAAATATTTATCTGAAGGAGGACTATAATAGTGTATTTCCATACATGACTACCCCATCCTCCAAAATTGTTAGATGCTTTTGCCCACTGTTAAGGCATTCTGCAGCGGGAACAGAAGACACTTTTAGCTCATTTCAGGTATATTTATTTTTGGGTCTCCCAGCTAAGAACAGTAAATATTACAGAATATTAAGTATCTAGATCGATGACGTGGTTGCATTTAGAATTCCGTGTACACATTCTGGTCACCCCACCCTCAGAAGAGATGACATAGTGGTGCAAAATACTTTTCTCCGTCCTTCTCCTTGGCTACAAGGATAACAAGAAAACCTGCCTGAACTTTGCATGAGGAAATATATGGCCATGTGAAATTCATGAAGAAAATATTGCAGTCAGATTAGTTGTAATGTTACAACTACATTTAAATGCAATATGTGGAGGGAGGGAAGATGAGATTTGGGCTGTATGACACCCACAGAATTTGGAGGACTGTAGAGTGGAGACCATCTGCAACGGGGGTAGGATAACCTGTGGTCTTCTAGATGTTTAAGATTCCAGCTCCCATCAGGTACAACCAGCAGGGCAAGTGGTCAGGGATGGTTGGAAAGGTAACCACACAACATCTGGAGGGTTGCCAGATGTACAGGGTTCTATACTTACTAAGTCTTGGGAGAAAGTGCTGGATTGTATAATTATGACTGTCCAGAAAAAGCTAAAATTTTCATCAGAGAACATTCTTCTGAACTATGTACCTATTGTATGGAAGTTAACATCAAGGCAACAAAAATGGATTCTACATGCTCTAATGGTAGCCAAGAGACTGATATTGATGAAGAACAAAGGATATAATCCGCTTTAATAAATGGATTGATAATATGGTAACACTCACTGCTTTGGATAAATAGGACAATATTTGGAATGACTTTATACAAAATGTCGTAGGCTATTAATATTTACGTATGTATTAGGATAATAATATCAAAATTATATAAGAATGTATGGGTTAGGGTATTTTTCGTGTATTGCCTATGTATATTCTTCCTTTCTACACATTTTGTGTCTTTTTCTTTTCTCTCTTTTTCTTTGCATCACTTTTATTTCTTTATAATTGAAAACTTTTCAATAAAAAAATATTACTACCAAACATCTGGTTAGCCTCTACAAGATCTGGCCATGCTGTACTATTTCTCGTTTGAACTGTACACCATCACTTCTGATTAATTCCTCCGTTTCAGAGAGAGGAAGGAGGGAGTTTGGGAATACAGGAAGAAGAACATGGAACTTCAATTTCCTTACACACATCCAGACACATTAGGTGATATGCTGAATGCAAGCGACAGTCTATATGCTTGCCTTCAGTTTAACAAGCTCTGCCTCATGCTCCCAGGGTTCCTCGTCCTTATGTTTTTCCCCCCTGTGATTTTGCCTCCTTTTGAGGAGTCATTGGAAAAAGTCTTTATACTTCTGGAACAAGCACAAGGGAAGCTCTACATAGAGCATCTTGCAGTAAACCTATAGTGCTTAAATGCAAGGTAAGAGAGATAATGCATGGTGCTGACTTTTACTTAAAAATAATAAAAATAGCTCAGATGGAGACTCTTATCAACAAGCCTAAAATTATGGCAACTGGTCCAGAGATTTTTTTTTTAAATGGCCTCCTTATATTGCCCCTCCCCTGCCATAGCCAGTTAGTAACTCTGAATCATATCCCTTAGAGGGGTGGCCCTATTTAGATCCAAATGGAATTTTCAAGCCACATGTAAATTAGACTATCAGAGGCTATTCTATATTATATTAATAGGATACTGTCATTTCTCCATAGAAGGATTAACATCTAGGTGGCACTGTAGCACAGAAGTCAATTTCAGCAGGCTCCTGGGGGTTATAATTAATATCCAGAGCTAAAAATAAGTAAAAAAGTGCAAAGTAGCAATTATAATTATAACTTTTTACAAGTGACAGAAGAGTGACAAAGGCAACATTGTATGTGGAAAGCTGCCTCTTCTTCAAGTAGTACTTCTATTTAATTAGGGGGGGAACACTAAAATGCAAAGGAAAAAACCTAAGAGAATGAACATTTTGAACAATGTCCAGGTTAACATGGTATTTTTTTAAAAATAGTACTGCCTTGCCTATCTTTTTCTAACGTCACTTCTTAACTTTTATATATGTAAAAATATGTATATAACCTCACTCACCCTCTGTTAGAAGCACTCGGATCTGATCCCAACAAGTTAAAGCGTGTTCTCACTAGCAGAGAGCACGTGTTGCGGTTGGGGAACAGGCCACTGCTTCATGACTAGGCAAATTTTGGTGGAACCCAAACTCTTAAAGGGTTAATTGGGTTGCTGGGGATTTCTGAGTGTTGCCAATTCGGAGGAGGGGTCAGAGGATATAAATATAGGAGCCAAGACGATGGGCCGTCCTCTTGGCCGTTTTGCATCGGATCACCCGCCCCCTCCCTTTTATAGGGTGGCTTCTGGTTTATTGACCTTGCTATGCCTGTCAAGGGGTCGTCCGCCTTTGAGCGGAGGCCTGGTAGGAATTTTGCCATTTGGCTGATTGGCTGTGCCACTTGGTTTTTGCCTACTATGTAGCAAATCGTCACAACTTGTAAGGTTGGCGGTTAGGCATTGGTTAAATTGGTTCTTGGAGGGGTAAGTGCCTATCCCTCCAAATGATGCGGAAAGGGAATTCCGTTAAAGGAATCCAGGGGCTTGCCATTCTTTCGTCCTGTCCGTGGAGCCGGGCTTGGGCCGTGCAAGCCCCACCGGAACATGAGGGTGAGAAGTGTTGGATTGATTCCCAGCCTCATTTCTCACCCAATACTTGTTTCCCACGCTGGCTTCCGGTGGTGTCCGGAAGTGCCAGCTCTGTCCTGTGGGGGCAAGGACAGATAGTCAAACCAATGCCTAAGCAACCACTCACATTTTTTGTATTTGAATAAAGTTGTGGCCAAAAATTATGCCAAAAACCTTAAACAAAAAATTGGTGTGAAGTGTGAATTTTTTGGGGTGGCACTGTGGAACTCAACATGCAAATGTATATATAAGCTGGGAGTAGAAGGGAGAGCGAGAACTACCACCATAAAAATAATAAATAGAAATAATAGAATAGAAATACTTTATTATGAATCCAGTTCTTTATTATAAATCCAGTTCTTACAGCACTTTTGGAAGATGCTAAGGCCCAGATTTCTATGAGTCCCTGAGCTAGTTTCTTTGATGATTGGGAAACCACCAAAATCACCTCTAGTTCTGTTTTTCATTTAATAAATTATTTTTATTACCCAAGGAAGTATATTTTACTTCTCTAGTTCTCTAGTTGTGCTTGTTCTCTTTCGACATGGTGCATGGGTGATGCAGTCAAAATTGTGTTTCTAGGTGTCCTAAAAGAGTGTGGTGGAATATTAAAGATGTGTCTCCCAAAATTCATGTGTGTTGCCTATTCCGAAAGACACACTTTGTTTTGGTCTGTTTTTAGTCGTTTATTTTGAAACAACAAAACTCATGTATTTTGGGTATGTGTTAAGAATGTCATACCTTTTCAATCACGACAATAAATAATAGAGATGCATAATCTTAATTTATCTGGTTGGTTGGTTGGTTGGTTGGTTGGTTGTAAGTTGCTTTGGGTTGCCTTGGGCAAGATAAAGTCACTAAGAAACTAACAACCGCAATAGTGATGATGATGATGATGATGCCGCCACATTTCAGCACCCCTCCATAACACCTTGCACTCCCTCTAAATTTGAGAAAGTGCTGCTGGGGGAGGGTGGGTTGATCAAAATCACCTCCACCTGCATTCTGCTAATAGATTCTTCTCTGTCAGTGAACAGCCACCATTACATATTACCCATAACAATAGAAAGCTTTGTGTCAGTACAGGAGAGGGCATGGATTTAATAAATCATTTTCCTAATGAAGAGCTTTTCAGGCTTGTAGAAGGCTTTACTGAATAAATTGACACCTTCAGGGTTTTTGACAGTATGAAAGCACGTAGTACCCTTTTGTTTTTCCCATCGCATGTTGCTGTATCGGGTGTTGAACCATCTGAAGTGACTGAGCAGCATTTGCACGTAGTACTTAGACGCGATGCCGGAAACTCAACCCCTCCACCCTCAGTGCTGCTACTCCAGAAAAATATTACAGAACCCACGCAATCTCCCATGCTGCAGAAAAACAAAAGTGTAAATGTTGGGAGATCTGGTCATGGATATAATACCATGTGGTTTGGTCCCGGAGCAGCAGTTTTTAAAAGGTGGTTATTAACTTTACAGATCATTTTGTATTATGTTAACTTGTACAGAGGGAGATTAATAAAGGTATGAGGAATGAAGCGGAGAAAGGGAACAACATTTTTTCATCCATTGGCTTTACTATATTGCTGATTGCATTAAGTAACTATATGCACATCCGAAATTTAAAGGAGGAAATGAAAGTGGGAGGTGGAAGGAGAGAAATGGGAATATTATATTGAGAAGTTTTATACTGGAAGAAATATAAAAACTCTCCCTAAAAAGAAGAGATAACTACTGGAACAAGAAAATGAAGATTGTTCCCAATAATTGAATACTAACAGTTTTTATTTGCCATTGAGCCACAGCCTGTGTCACATATATCTGCAGGAACAGCAGACTATGAAGAACTGTGAGAAGCACTTCCTATATTTACTTTTTATATTATATATTTTTATTATAATAATTATAAGCAGAACGGAATAGAATAGTACATAGTGCATAATAAAAAAACAGGTTTATGAAAGAAAATGCTGACTTGAAGTACTTTTATATTTGGTTTCTGACCTCGTTCCATTGTTCCTTTCTTTCCCCCTCCCTTTTGTGTAGGTATGAAACACCCGGCAAGTCCTGACCACATATTTGGAGATGAAATTATGAATCAATCTGCATTTCTGAGGGGCTTTGAAGATAAAGGACTAAGACACGACAGGGCTGACTGTCAATTAAGTAAAGAGAAAAAGAAGATACTGTTTTCCTTCTGTGATGTGTGCAATATACAGTTGAACTCAGCAGCGCAAGCTCAGGTTCATTACAATGGAAAGTCTCATCTGAAAAGAGTAAAACAGCTGAATAATGGGAAGCTACCTGCAAACACGAACACAGGCAATTTGTTTGCATGTGCCAGCACAGGTACATTTTTTCATTATATGAGAGAGAGAGAGAGAGAGAGAGAGAGAGAGAGAGAGAGAGATCTTAAGTTTAATCTAAAGTGTCAGAGACATTAAGGCTCCCACCCTTTTGTTTGCTCCCTGTAGTGCCAGCCTTGGAAGAAAGCTTTAATTTATTTCTTCAAGTATTGTACTGTACTCTAGACCAAGGGTAGTCAATCTGGTCCCTTCGTGTTTCAGGATTCCAGGTGGGCGGTAGGGGGTTCATGTTACTGCAGCACTGGTGGGTGGTAAGGAAATTTTACCATCAAGAAAGATGCATTAGTGGGTGGTAGGTATAAAAAGGTTGACTACCCCTGCTCTGGGATGCGGGTGGTGCTGTGGGTTAAACCACAGAGCCTAGGGCTTGCCGATCAGAAGGTCAGCAGTTCAAATCCCTGCTCCTGCCAACCTAGCAGTTTGAAAGCACATCAAAGTGCAAGTAGGTAAATAGGTACCACTCCGGCGGGAAGATAAACAGCATTTCTGTGTGCTGCTTTGGTTCACCAGAAGCGGCTTAGTCATGCTGGCCACATGACCCAGAAGCTGTACGCTGGCTCCCTCGGCCAATAAAGCGAGATGAGCGCTGCAACCCCAGAGTCGTCCGCAACTGGATGTAATGGTCAGGGGTCCCTTTACCTTCACCTTACCCCTGCTCTCTCTAGGCCAGCATTTCCCAACCTTGGGTCTCCAACTGTTTTTGGACTACAGCTTCCATCATCCCTAGCTGGCAAGACCTGTGGTCAGGGATGATGGGAATTGTAGTCTGAAAACAGCTGGAGAGACCCAAGTATGGGAAACCCTGCTCCAGACCAGGGATGAGGAGCATATGGCGCTCCACATGTTATTAGAGTCCCAGCTCCCATCAGCCCCAGCTAGTGTGGCCAATGGCCACAGCTTCTCACTTGGTTCCATTGTGATGTCACAATTCCCACCCAATAAACTACCACCACCACCACTCCCGGCAATTCTTCACCTACTGAGGGAGCTTCAGATGCAGATGGGCTGGGCAGAGTGGGTGGATGGCTCTAGCAGCCTGGAATAGCTGCTGCCTGCTATCCTGTGCATCTTTGAATCCGAAGATAGAAGGAACACAGCAGTTACAAAGTGTACTGATTCAGGCACCATCCCACCCCTTCCTCAACTTTGCGTGGGCTTGTTTGGGCAAGAGTGGAGAACCTGTGTCCCTGCAGTGGGACACTTAACTCCTGTCCCTCCCAGATAGAATGACTAATGGTCAGAGATTATGGGAGTTCTAGTCCAGCAACATCAGGTTCCTCACCCCTGATTCCCCACAAAGAGTTGGGGAACATAATTTCTGAAAACTTCTGTGTACATGAGTATCCAAAAGTGCTATATTGATGGTTCAGTTTAGGCACCAAGAAGTGATGTAATGTCATGTGCAGTTGTGCTAAGACAGCAGGTGGGGCAATGTTTTATTTCATTATTTTATGTTGTTTGTTTTAATACGAGGTAGCATAGCTTACCTTATTAATGTCATCACACTTCAAATTAGCAGAAGGGGTAGGGCTCATAATCAACCACATTTCACCTAATTTTCACAAGATTCATTAAGTGAGGGTCAAATTGAAATCCCACACTTCCTGCAGCTTATCCATGTGCCTTTAGAGAAGCCTGCCTCAGCCTTTGAAAGCTAATGTTTTAGAGGGCTAAATTGCACTCTGTCTGATAATACCCAGTGCCCTGTGAGATCAAGTAAATGTTACAAGAATAAAATTATCGCTGGTTCATTTGGGGCTGTGATAGATATATATAGAGAGAGTGTGTCTCTTTTCTTCTCATAAAGATGCAGAATATGCTTGGATCCTATTTTCTCTTTCAATAATCCTTTGGAGGTCACCTTTAAAAAAAAACAGTATCCATCATCCTTTCTTATACTAAGACAGATGGAAAAGGGTGTCTGTGTTTAAGAAACACTATCTGGAGGAGACAGAGGTAGCTGCTTTTGAACAGCTTCTGCTGGTGCAGCAAAGTATTAATGCAGTGACAGATTTAAAATCTCAGTAGCGGAGAGCTTATTTGTTTTCATAGATGTGAAGCATTCGCCCTTTTACACCTTGGAAGTTTCACTTCTTTTGCAGTTGTTCCATGTAAATACTTCACACTTTAAAAAAAAGAACCCCCCTCGCTTCTGTACCGCCTTTGTTTGGTTTGAATGGAACTATAGAATGATTGGCATTTGCAGTTCACACCTGTGGCAGATCAGGCTGTGTTTTGAAGGAATAAACATGAAACAAGACGTGTAGATGTAAGCAGCCCCGTTTCAAAGTTACATTTAGGGGGAAGTGCAGCTGTAACACTGGCTCTTCGCTAGTTCTAGTTAACAAATTATTTCCCTCCTTCCCAACAGTCCCTCTCATATCCTAAAGCAAATTCACCCATCACCTAAAGTTAATGCTATTTGTTGGCACTGATGTTAACTACTTCATCTTTTTTTCAATGTTTGCATCCCTCCTTGCTATAAAAATGTTCAAGGTGGCAAACAACACACCAAAGTTCACACACACACACACACACACACACACACACACAACTTGGATATGAAAATGGCAGGACTCAAAATACCATCTTAAAAGGCAAAGCCCCAAAACACCCACTGAAAAAAGATACAGTCTTGGCAGTGCTGTTTTTCTAGAAAAAGAAGAGCCAGAACTCACCATGAACACCTCACTCGTTCTCTTATAATAGCAATGGCACACACCTTGACAGGTGCTGGAACTGAGTTCCGGCTGAAAAAGCCCTGGCTCCTGCTTATTTGCTGGCAGGTGAACAGCCACATGGCCAGGCAGACTTCCTTCAACAGAGCATTACAAGTGCCTCAGTGCTGTGACAACAACAACGAAAACGTCTTGTCTCTCATGTCCGCTCTCTATTCTTTGGATGACAGAGGCCATGGAGCAGGGCCTCAGTAGAAAATCTTGGATGACAGGACAATTCCCAAGGGAGCTGGTGCTTGTCAAGATACACTGGTCCCAAATCATTCAGGTCTTTAAGGCTCCAGAAACAAACTGGTAAGCAGAAAGGCTTTCCAAGCGCGTATGTGTTACTCCTTTTCAGCACCAGATGATGACCTTATTTATAATTCTTCTTGACCTAATTTTGATATATATTGCTGTGTTTCAGTTTGGGCATAAATTGCACTAAATCTCTCTGCCGTTTTTGGTTGGTTTCTATAAGTGGAACAAAGGAAAAGCATCTCTCCTTCTCCTCAAGCAGCAAAGGGCCTTGGTCCGTCATGCATCCAATTCGGAAATGTGTGTGCGAGGGTGTGCGGGGGTGAATTTCTGTAGCTCCATATCTTTCGCCAAAAAACAACAACACTTGACAGCATTTAAGCTCACTGAAAAACTGGGCTCCCATTCCTAAAGTACCTGTGAGGTCATTGTCCAGTGATGGCCTTTTCTAGTGTTTTGCTCAACTCCACAGTGGCACATTTCAGTATATTAGTACCATTACAACCAGCACTGTGTGCATTCTCACTATATTCCTGCTTTTTATTTACTAAGGTCACTATGGTCACAACTTTATCACTTTCAGATTTTGAATATTCTCCAGATACTGTTTTCCTTAACTAAAGAGCACTGGGGGGACGGGGACAGAAACATGGTATGTGTAGGAGGAAATAGGAATGAGGAATGGACTTCTTGTATATGGGGCAATGGGGAAGAGAATGAAGTCTGAGTACCCCAGGTAACAATGACGACTGTGTCAAATGTATAGTGGAAGCATGTTCGTGACTCCCCTCCCCCCCTTTTTTACTATATACGTACAAACAAATATAATTCATACAAATACCAAAATCACTTAGATCATCTCCAGCGACATAATTGTAAAACAAAAATACTCATTCCTATGACATGTTTGTTTTCTTAGCTATCACCCAGCTAGTTTCGGTGTACGTTTAAAAAGCTTCCACAAGATGGTGCCGTAAGCATTCACAGAATGATGGTTTTTAGTGAACTGGCTACAGTCACTCCTCATGGAGATGATTTAGGGAATGTAACTGTGTTCACACTCTCATTTGCACTCACTGTGTTTCCAGCGCTGAGCTTTCAATTTCTGTTCCTATAACGTTATCCAAAAGGTATACATTTCCTGTAATTTGTTATAAAATACTGCTTTTTGTTTCTCAAACCTGTTTCACAGTCCTTTAAACCATTCCTAATTTGTCTCTGGCCAAGGACTGAACACATATGCATAGAGTAAAGATATCCCCACTAGTCAACACCCCCTGGTATGTGCACAAATGCAAACCAATCTGACACTAATGAATTAAGCCTGTGCAGCACGGGAGAGCTGTAAAACACACCGAAAAGGCAACAACTACACTGTTCTCTAAGGTGGTAATGTGAGCACACCATATGTCTCTCTTCTTCCCCCTTTAGCTGCAACCTGTATGTACTTACCTGGGAATAAGTACTACTGAATTTAAATGTGAGTTACTTCAGAGTAGATATGAGAGGGGTGCTCTGCCGGTATCTATTTGGACAAAGGAGATTTCAGTCATTGCACGTAAGGCCCGTTTTGTGAATCAAATGTCTCTTCTCTCCCTTTAAAGCTTCCTATTATTGACACTGCTAGGACTGTTCTTTGTGGGTGTATGGCACAGGGGAAGATACACATGTCTTTGGGGTTTTTTATTTCCTTAAAAGAATGTTTAAATAGCTGTTTATCAATCAGAGCCAAATTCCGACGTGTTTCATATCTTTGTACTAACACTGCAAGAATCTGAGGCGTGTGTTCGAAAAACACAGGTGTATCATAGAGTATCATTTACAGTAACCAGGCTTTGAGAGGCACGGACTGAAATCAGGTATGCATGTATTTGTTGTTGTTGTTGTTGTTGTTGTTTAGTTGTTTAGTCGTGTCTGACTCTTCATGACCCCATGGACCAGAGCACGCCAGGCACTCCTGTCTTCCACTGCCTCCCATAGTTTGGTCAAACTCATGCTGGTAGCTTCG